AAAAAAACAGCCAGGAAATAAATCAAACAATATATTTTTGCTGGATTGAAAATGCTGATGCTTGAAATATTATACAGCAAATCTTCTATTCAGCGGTTTATTTTATGCCAAGAACTATATATTAATCTAATAGACTTGGTTTTCAATACTATTTCCTCCCGGAAATCTAGAAATTTTACTCAGGCTGTTGAGACAGTTATGTTGACTGTTCGTCCAATTAAAAAAATAAAAAATAGAAATGACTTACAGGTACAGTTTATCAAAGACAGGAAATAGGATTCTGTGGTTGAAGATAGTCCAAAGGCTGTTTGTGTATTTTTCAATCGTGCGCATGTGTCAGTCCTTCAAAAAAGGTCTCTATGCTGGAAATGCCTGGACTGGTATTTTTGTATTTCAACTATAGCTGCAGCAAAGTGCAGGAAATCTCCATAAGAAGAGGTCTCTGTCGGCACTATCATTTCAAGTTATATTTACAATTTGTTGGTGGGTTCTTGCTGTTGCATGTTTCATAATAAAAAAAAAAAACAATACTTTCTACAGAATTTATCTTAATTTATCTGTCCAGCAGATGTTTTGCGGCCAAATATTTCGTTTTCAGACCCTTTTGCTCCTTTCAGGGCAAAGGTGTCATGTAACATAATACAAATACTTTGTTACTGTACTTAAGTACACTTTTTAGGTATCTATACTGTACTACATTACTTATTTTTCTTCCTACTTCTGACTTCTACTCATTACATTTTCACACATGTATCTGTACTTTCTATTCATTACATTTTTAAAACGCACATTACTAGTTACTCTTGGCTTCGTTTAATGTTTATAAATATGTATTTCACGTCATGTGCGCCATCCAATGCAGATCTTTGCCACCATCCACATCTAGTGAAAACTAGTGTCATTGGGTAAGTCATGTAATGCAAACACTCATTGGTTAGCTATTCAGAAAAAGATGTTGAAATGTCTGAAAGGTCAGACACAGATGAGAGCGTATCGGGAAATGGAGACGGAGACCAACAAGACCTCCCTCATCCTTGGCCCTATCTCAAAGAATTTTTCGAAATAGTCGAAAAATTTTGCTTTGAATTCATATAGTGGCATCTGGCTGTTTTCTTTTTAAAGGTTACTTCATACATTTATACTTTAAGTAGTTTTTGGAGCACATACTTTTTCATTTTTACGTGAGTAAAGAGGTCAAGTTGATACTTAACTTTTTACCAGAGTGTTTTAAAACTGCAGTATCTATACTTCTACTTAAGTAACCAAAGTGTCTACTTTTGACACCATTGCTTCAGGGCACATCATCTCTGAAAACAATCTCCTACACACATTTAGCCAGCTCTGTTCCCTCCCACTTTCTCTCCTCTTTTTTACTACGTCGAAAAAAAGGTTTGTCATGATTCTTTTACACAAAAGAGTGAACAAATAGCTCAAAAAAAGCTGCAGCAGTAGGAGTACTTCTTCATACTTTGGCATAATGGAGGACCGTATGAGTTATGCTTGGAGCCTACGTAAATAAAGTTATTGAGGCACGAACACAAACTGTTTGATTGACAAACAAGTAGCAAGTCCACTTTCGACCGTTGGCAAAGTGGAATGGCGAATGTTTTTTAGTCACCACCACCGCCAGAGTTTATGGATTTTAGTAATGTATTTAGTGGGGGAATTAAATAATCAGAGCTATTCTTTGTGTTATAGAGTTTGCAATAATTGCTTTAATGGTTTAATTTCAGATCTACTGCATTAAACTTTTGCTAGGACTGAAATGATCTGTCTGTACTAAACTTGGAGTTTCAATAAATTTTTACAAAAAGCAAAAGTTGTACTGAAAGGAGTTGACCTTTTAAACTGGCAGTGTTGTTTTTTCTGCCTTCAGGTTAACATCGCTCATTCAAGCTTACTTTCCATAAGAAGATTTGCAATTTTTCCACTATGTCAGACTCACCATAGGTAAGTGAAAATGGGGACGAGCACGTAGGACGGCCTTACGTCAACATATCACTAGACTCATTGACAATTAGGAGGACCACTTATTTTGATGATCTCGGATAAAGAACATCCTCCACTACCTTTAATTAAAAAAAAATCTAAAACTGTTGATTTTATTTCTTTAGTTTAAATCGCTTGTCATGAAATGACAGAATGGACAATGTTAAAATAGTTTCCTCTGGCTTTTACACAGCTGCCCGTCGTCCTACCACTTACACCATGCTGTTTAATTGTCTGAAAAACAGGCCACCACTCTTTCCTTTCACCCATAATTAAGACAAATTGGCCTGTTATGGTCATGTAAAAATTGGAAAATTTTCTTCTGCAACCTAAAGTAACTCCATTTATTGCCTTTTTTCAATGTAACACTGTTTTAAAACTAGATTTGTGAAAATGTCATGGCACCTCTTCTGAGCACAAAGCCTGATTTTTTAACGTACTCATATCAAACTTTCATACGTAGGCAAAAACTTAAAATGCTATGCTTAATAAACTCTTGAAGCCTGCTGATAAATATTGCCCTTTTTTAATGTTTGTCCTAAATTACTTTTTTAATGACACAAGCGGGTTTTGACAAGTACATTAGTTTTCCATGTTAGCAATTTGAATGTCTTTTTCTCTTTGTCTGAACTGCATTACATATCATACATTTACATTTCTGAAATGTAAATGCATGTAGCCTGTCACGAAGAACTGTTCTTCACTTTTAAGCCATAAGAAAAAACATAATGGTGATAGATGTAATGGTGAGAAAACATGATTTGACATGTTTTTTGGAAGGGTCTGAAACGTCACTGTTATTGGCAAGAAGGTCCAAGGTTGGCTTGGGGTCTTGTTGCATGTACAGTAGTGTGCTACTCCTAGCATGAATGCATTGGCTCTGTCTTTGTACTCCGGCATCATTTTACAACAATAATTATCATGTTCAATTATCATGTTAGGCTACATGGCATTGGTGTGTCTTTGACAAGTCTCAAGCAGCCACAACACACAGTACTTCCATTTTATTATTATAAGATATTATTTTCTTTTTTGGAGAAAAACTATCACTGATATAAAAGGCACCTAATATTTGACATTAATTATTCTATTGCATTGAGTTAAACCTTTCAACCCCCAAATCCTGCCCCCCCACCCCACCCCACCCACACACAAAAAAGAAATAAAAAATTGGCAAGAAGGTATATTTACATTACCACTGCTGCACTTTAAAAAATTTAAAAAAAATGTATTGAGAGCTGTACCGAGCAAAATTTCTTTTTGTATACACTCTGTGTGTACAAAAAGACAATAAAGTCTGTCTAAGTCTAAATCTAACCCCCAAATTCACCAGAGTGCTGAAAGTTTTAACTAGACTACACTACAAAACACTGTTTAAACTTTGTCATGTCTGTGTGGAAAAAAGAAATCAAGATTACATGCTAACAAAGATCAAATGAGTTATGTTTCATGAATATAATCATCTATCCATCCATCCATCCATTTTCTATCACCCTTATCCCAAGCGGGGTTGTTAGGGGTGCTGGTGCCTACCTCCAGCTGTCTACGGCCGAGAGGAATATAATCATAAAAGGTGGTAATACAATTCAAGCTTAACATTTCACTTTTCCTCTGTGTCACCTTCATTTCTTTTTTTTCTTTTTTTTGTCATCTTTGATGGCTCATGTGGAACACATTCTCCACAGAGCTGCTATGTGGTAATTCTGAGGTAAATATTAACACATTGCATATATGACACATTAAGACTTTTAGCTGTGTTCTCCAAAGCAAGGTCACTAATATGTTAACCAAATGTTTGACCAGTGTGAAAAAAACAAGCCAGTATATTGTTTCAGAGTTTGCACTGCTAATCATTGTTCAGCATCATTGGCATTTCAATTAATATACCTAATTCCTCTAGTGTCTTGAATAAAGCTGAATTCCAAAAATTGATTAACTTGTCTAGATAGGATTTTGAACTTTACATTTCTTTTTGATGCTATATTTATTATTTCTTGCATGTATATATCCCTTCTGGTCAGAAAATGTTTTACTGGTCCTCTTCAATCAGTAACAGGGATTTTGCCTTGGTCCATTTCTAATACCACTTTATTCTGAGCTGCAGTTGTTTGAGGTTATGGTTTTAAAGGTATTGGTTTTTAAAATGTGTTTATCTTAAAAGCTAATATGGTAAGAAATCATTGTTTACTATTAATGACGTGCAGAGAACTGAGAATATAAGTAAACTTAAGTTAAATGAAATACATAAAAATGTTAAACTTGAGTTACCTTTTCTTTGACCTGTAATGAGGGTCATGCTTTAGTACAGGGGGTCGGCAAGCATCAATAAAAGCTCACATTAGGACCTTTTTTACTATGACTATCAGACTGCTAAAAAGCTCTCTACTCAGGTTAATCCTCAAAACAAATTCATGTTGAACAATGACACGAGTCTTGTCTTGTTTAAAGTGGACTTTGAACTAAATTTCAGGAATCTAGAATTTCTTGTATGCATATTGATTAATAGGATAAACAGTAGAAATCAAATATTTTGTAACTAGATGGAAAAGGTGAGCTGCAGATTAAAAAAAGGACAAAAAAAAATGTAACTTACAATCTAAAAAGGTTGCTGCTTTTAGGATTGTTGATCAAAACCTTCCTTTATTTAAAGGTTAAGAATGGTGTATTTCATGCATAATTACTTTACTTTATACTGTTGCAGGACTTAACAAGGTTACAGATCAATGAAACTTAACTTACCTCTATATGCCAAGAATGCCCCTTTAAAAATGGGACTCTAAACTTGTTTTGAGAGGTACAAAACATCTTTACAAAACAAGTCTTTGGATCCACATACTTTAAATAAAATATGCCTTTTTCATGCCTTTACTCAAAGCTCTGATAGTGGCATAGAAGCTGATTGCCTAATTGTGCTGTCATCCTTACATGATACACATTCCCTTTAACTCCTCCCCCCTTGAGCTGGCTGTTTAATTCCTGTGAGGGGATGATTTTGTATCCACCAATAAAGCTGCTGCTTGCAGTCCCAGGGCACAATGTGTTGCACCCTGCTGCAGGTCTGAACTTAAACAACCTGCTGCTCCTCTGTTAACCCTGTAGGCCACTGGCAATAGGACTTGACAAATATATTTGTAATTAAGGGCTAGATATCTGTTCTGCTTAACAGATTACCAGGACTTATGAATGAAATATCACAGACTACGGGGACAGAAAGAGACAGAATATATAAGCGCATTCGGTAAGTTTCAACATTTACTAACTGTTAATTAAATCAAGTTTGTTAAAAAGTTCTTTATCCTGTTGATTTTTCTTGATGTTTGCCAACATATTTTATTTATTTTAGAATTGATAATAATTACAAGCTTTTGATTATTAAATTTTTTTTATGCATGAAAACTCTCTCTCCACAATGTGTCTAAGAGTATTCTGTAAAAATATTTTGTCACAGAGATTCACTGTCTTAAATTTCTGGTGGAGTTATAAATGTTTTGCCTAGAGGCAGCTGTTCTGATAGGGTTCAGTAAATTTCCAGCTACATTTCAGGAATAAACAAGTAGGCTAATCATTTTTTTCATTGATGTTTTTGCCAGGAGCTTCCTGTCCCGCTCTAACTGTCGGAGTATAATGGTGGCTTTTAAAGGGATCTGGACAAAGAGCTTCTGGAGGGCTGTGTCAGGTGAATATGCAGCCAGCTTGATCTTTGTGCTCCTCAGCCTTGGCTCCACTATCAACTGGGCTGCAGGGGAGGACAATCCCCCTCCTGCTGACTTGGTGCTGATCTCCCTTTGCTTTGGCCTCAGCATTGCCACTATGGTTCAGTGTTTCGGGCACATCAGTGGCGGCCACATAAACCCAGCTGTCACTGCAGCCATGGTTATAACCAGAAAGTTAAGCCTTGCAAAAGGTGTGTTCTATGTGGTGGCTCAGTGTCTAGGAGCCATCACCGGAGCTGGCATACTCTACGCTGTTACACCTGCGGATGTTCGAGGATCTCTCGGTGTTACTATGGTAACAACTAAAGCAACGTATTCTTTTCTGTTTGTACCAAATCTTTCCTTAGGGTTTCTCTTAATCTAAATTGGATTTTTTTTATTTCAAGGTGAACTCCAAGATCTCATTAGGACATGCCCTTCTTGTTGAGCTTTTCATTACTTTCGAACTGGTCTTAACCATCTTTGCCACTTGTGATCCCAGACGTACAGACCTAAGTGGCTCTGCAAGCCTAGCCATTGGATTTGCAGTAGCTATCGGACACTTCTTTGCAGTGAGTACATTTATTTATGTATGTAGGCTCAATAAAACTGCTGTTTAGTTCTCAATAGCGTTACATGTTTAAAGTCTCCAAGCAATAAAAAAAAAACTGATTTAGAAATTAAACATAGGTTCTGTCAACAGTAATACTCAGTTTTTGTACCAAAAAGGCTCAAGGTTTCTTAGCTGAATGAAAACAGGTAATCTCAGGGTGAAATTGTCAGCCTGTGATTGTGTACTTTTGCTGCAGATCTTTACTGGAGGCTTCTATCGCATGGCAACAAGTCTCCAGAGGCTTCCTGAACCCTGTAGAGCAAATGAATGAGCAGTGAAAAATTTATGCATGTTGTAACAAAGAGTTATTTGTTCAGAAAATCTTGACTTCAGACATGTACAGTGTAAGCTTTAAGCTTGGTTAAGTATGATTTTGTGTCTATTTTTTTTTTAATGTTTAATCCTTCAAATCAAAATCTGCATTAATATGTGTCCTAGATTCCTTACACAGGAGCCAGCATGAACCCGGCTCGTTCATTTGGACCTGCGATGGTCACACTTAACTTTGACAACCACTGGGTAAGAGACAACTCTTTAACGATGTATAAACAAATGCATAACATTTGTCAATTGATTTACAGCCAAAGTGTCCAAACCCAAAAAAGATGGAAAATAAACAGCAGGGGGCAGTAAACATACATAGAATGATCCCTTAAGATTTACAAATGTATTTTTAAAATTATAACTAAGAAAGCTGAAACATTTTTCTCAATTCGGTTCCAAACTGTGTAAAGGTGGATGTGAGTCTATGATCTTTAAAAATTTCAGATAAATAACTTTAATCCCTATACACATAAAATAAAGAGGTAATGGAGGAAACAAATATAAATAAGCAACTTGCTCTTAATTTGGGTGCTTTAAATATAATAACTGTATGCACAGATCCAGTTATGAAAGGCATTTCGTCTGTTACATAAAGTAAAATATAACATAGTTAGGAAATTTAGTTTTTTAACTATTCAGTGAAACATAATTGATTTAAAGATAATATTAATTAGCTAAGTTCATGCAAAGTATCTGCAGAATTAAGCTGCATCATATGATACATCTATTAAACCCTCAAATTTCCCCCTTCATTTATGCTCTTATGAAAAGTGCAAAAGAATTCCAGGTTAAAATACTGTATATAGTGTCAAAGACGGTATGCAAGACAGCTGGCCTAAAGTTATTTTTTTATGTATTTTTTTAATTAACCCAAGGGATTAATTTCCACCAAGCTTTGCACAAACAGGTGTGGGTCATGTTACTGCTGCTATTTATTTAACATTTGTTTAACTTAAAAATATTTTGTAGCATTTGCACCAGCAAGGGGGATTTAAGCCATCACCTGTCATTGATTACCTCTGCAGGCTCCCCCAGTGGACAGAAAGAATATGCTTTATATTTATTTATAGTTAATATGCTTTTTTTGTCCTTAAAAGTTCCCTCTTTTGTATTTCTAAATCTCACTTCTGGTCCCAAACTCAGTAATGCTATGGTATCTTTTATTTAGAGAGTAAATGTATTTAGAAATGAAGCATATAAGCTAATGTTTGGTATATATCTACAATAAAAGTTGAACCTAGAGTTTTAGGTTGTTCAGAAAAGTGAAAGCTCCTTATTAAACTTTTCTTCTTAAGGCAACATTGCCTTTTACCAATTAGCAGGGCTGATCTGTAAATTCCAAGTTTAGCACCCTTTAAAACCTGTGGCAACACTGCACTGTCACAGCTTTAGAAAGCTTCCTGGGTTGCTTCTGAATTGGGGAAATTGTTGCTTTTCCCTCCTGTTCCTAGCTCCTATCCCTTCTCCTTTGGTGGGACCAACAGTAAGAATATAATCATGAAATTTCAAAGATGAGTAAATAAAAGTAAACATCAGATATTATATTTTATATCATTCTGATAAACATCAACATGTTTATATTCTTTTAAAGTTGTGGCATCCTTATACATGGATTAGGTTTGCCTTTGTAATCAGATAAACAGCACTTAAACTTAAACTTAAACGGCATTTTCAGAAATATAAAAATTTGATGTTGTTTGCTAGTTAATATAAAGTCATTACTGCACAGTGTGTTACAGTTTAACTCAATTTGTTGCAGAAATTACTATGTCATCAAGCACACACAGGGTAGTTCAGATAAAATCTTTAAGGAGTAACTCATTAACTAACTTGCTAACCAGGGTGTTCCCCCTCCCCTATTATTGTAGGTGTACTGGCTGGGCCCCATTCTGGGAGGAATCTTGGCTGCAGCTTTGTATGAATATCTTTACTGTCCCGACCCTGAAGTGAAACAGAAGCTGAAGCAAGTCTTTACGAAGGAATTAACAGGAAAGTACAAAGTGGTGGAAAGTGATGAGACCATCATCAAGCCAGGCTCTATCCATAACATTGATCTTGCAGAGAAAGTAGAGAAGAATGATCCCTTTCAGGAGTCGTCCGGAGAAGTACTGTCCTCTGTATGACTATCACACGCACTGGAAATGGAGACCAATTTATAAAGGATGACAATCAAACTTCTATTGTAAAGCAGACTATAATTTCTGTCAGAAACGCAAGGCTGTATTACTTTCACTGTCATACCATTAATACATTAGAGCTAAATCGTCCACACAACTGCAGAACATTCAAGACTGTTGCTCAGGGATGCTCTGAATGATCGTTTTTGCACACAATGTATCCTGTTAAAATGACAGCAAGCAATGCATTATGGGAGGGAAATGTGTGTAGGGGGTCAGCCAATTATGCTGGGTCATTCTGCTGTACTGAAAGATTGAGGAAGAATATGCAGCCTTGTTATTTTTGGATTAGTGTCTCATTTGCTCTGCCTTCTGCATGTGTGATAAAAGGCAGGATGGTCCTTGTGATCATTAAGCACATTAAGGATTCGATGCAAAGTAAGGGAGCGTTGACAAGCTGTACGAGCAGAGCTGTATCACAGAGCTCTCCATTTTCAGTGCATTAATCAGGTAAACAACTTGCTATGCTTTCTTCAAGTTCATCTCCACTTTGCTGTCTGTTATTGTACAACAATTCCTTCTTTTCCTTTCACTGCAATCATTGAAGTTTTGCTGTCTTTGTGAATTAGATTAGATTTTCTTGCACATTTTATCAATATATATGAAGAAGAGGTTCTTTCATTTAATGGGTGAGTTCCTCCTTGTAACCCACCTCCATACATGTTGTACTTTATAAAGATACTGGTACAAAGTGCAAATTTGTGAGGACTTTCTTTTATACATTTCTCAAATTTCATACTATTATATTAATATCCAATATGATTCATTATTTTTGGAAGATTAAATGAAATTCTGACAAAGATTCAAGCTCTTTGGTTTAGGAAACAGTGACATTTGTATTTAGCTAAATTCCCTATCATGCACTTTCTACTGCAAAGTATTCTGCCCATACCTCTATTCCTGGAAATAATATAAGAAAAAGATGATTGAAGGATATAGAATATATTATATTTTTTGGTTGTTTGGTCATCCTGTCCTACATATAGTTCCTGCTCTGGGTTGTGAGCCATATCACTCATATCTAAATCCAGCAATGACTGTATAAACAGTCAGATACAAAGCTAGGGTTTGCCATTGGCTGCCCCTTTGACCCCTAACCAAGAGATGTGTTATTCCCATGTCAATGTAATTCACCACCACCAGATCAAGCAGTTCTCCTCTAAAACGGGCCACAATGATACTCTGAAGTACTGTGTCCAGACTGTTAGTAATTCTTGTTGTCTTGTTGTATATTAACTATAAATTGACAAGAAAAGCATAAATAAATTACTTGTATCAATATATTGACATTAAAAGTGACAAACAAAGAATTCATGCTATTTTCATAACTGTGTCCTCTGTTATTTGTATTTTTTCTAGAAGTTTGCTATGTAATTAAATGCAAAGCACAACTGCTCAACACAGTATGGCATGCATATATGTATAAATATCTGTATATATTAAAGGAAAATTCCGGTTTTTAACACTTTTAGCCCATTTTCTGTAGTGTCCAGGATGAAATCAAATGATCGACACCAAAATTTTGACAATTGGTCCTGTCTCTGCTATTTGGCTCATGCAGAATCCCCCCCTGGCTGCTTCAGAATGGCTTCCATAGTGCATGTCCGATAATGTCCTTAAAACAACCTTAAACGTTCTTTTTTTAAAATATGCTACTCATCGGGTCGTCAGCGCAGTTCAATGACGTTCCAAAAAAAGTTTCGTAAAGAAAAAACGTTCCTGTAGTGTTTTATTTAGCATTTTGTAAATCCCATTGAGTTCTGTTGGAATAGTCAATATTCCCTCCGCCACCGGAAACGGAAATGGGGCCTGTTTACACAGTTGTAGTCTTTTCGCTTCACTCTGTGTACTCCGACGTCGAGGTGCTAACGTCTCTGTTAAACACTTTAAAAAACTCTGAAAATGGAATACGAAAGGTGGATTCTTGAGGAGGACATATTGGACTTTGAGTTTGACGGTAGAGGATACCGTTTTGAACCGGAATATACTGAGGAGGAGTATATAGAGACATTGTCGCCAACTAGTGATCTGGAGTGCGCAACGCTTCAGATTCGAACGGGAAGCGGAAGTTTATAAGCGGTTGTGATGTATCGGAAAAAATAGTTCTGGGATTTACAAAATGCTAAATAAAACAAGACAGGAACGGTTTTTCTTCACGAAACTTTTTTTGGAACGTCATTGAACAACGCTGACGACCCGGTGAGTAGCATATTTTTAAAAAAGAACGTTTAAGGTTGTTTTAAGGACATTATCTGACATGCACTATGGAAGCCATTCTGAAGCAGCCAGGGGGGGATTCTGCATGAGCCAAATAGCAGAGACAGGACCAATTGTCAACATTTTGGTGTCGATCATTCGAATGCATCCTGGACACTACAGAAAATGGGCTAAAAGTGTTAAAAACCGGAATTTTCCTTTAAATAGCCATAGCTTAAAAAATCTGCTGTGTCTTCAGTGGTTTATTTAGATAATATGAATATTTTGCTACTTTGTTTTCATGTTGTGTGATTAGTGTAGATTGACACAGAACTGGGTTTGCACATATACAATTTCCCCCACCCCTCAGTGAACATTGGTCCCTGCCTGCCCCAAAAGTTCAAGAATAAAGACCAACAATCCTTCTTCTAAACTCATAAATTCTTGAGATATTGACAGTTAAAGTCAGATGTACCAAAGGAATAAAACATAATTTAAAGCACTTTTGCCCCATATTGTAGAGATACAGGATGGTTGAGGTATCTCATATAAATAGCTCTTTGCATGGGATTGCCTCTAATGATGACAAACAAAAAACCCTTCTTGTTAGGAAACAGCTAAATCAAACCATCACACCACCTCCAACAAAACTGTACTGACATCTGCTGCTCACAAATGCATTTTCCCAACATCTATATTAACATTTAAATGAAATTAAGAAGTTGCAATAGTTCTTTTTTTTCTTCTTCTTTTATTTTAAGTACCTTACTTCTTCTACTAGTTTCCCTTGCAGTAGGCTTACACACACACACACACACAAAAAAAGAAGCAAAACAAAGATGTTCAGTCCAGTGATGGATTGGACCCTTCATCCCTTGATTATCCATCCCTATTGTCAGATAAATGTCCACTTTGTGTGCTCCTCGGAGTTGCCCTGCTGAGAATAGTTCCATTTTATCTCATTCCATCAAAAGAGCACCAAGGAAATGATACTACTCTGTGATGGGAAATAGAGGTGATCTGTTATATGTCTACAATTCATTTCCTTTGCTAAAAGTGTAGGGCGCTCTTCAATTTCTTGCTCTCTCTCTCTCTTTCGGAGGGCCCTGCTGCAAGCTGTCTACATGGTGCAACTATATTACTTTCACCAGAATAGCAGTATAATTTTGACGTTAAATCAAAGCTGTTTTTTTATTCCCTCATGAATCTTTTCCTTCCTCTCCGCTGCAGTGGACTCCGTGAGTGGTACTATAGCCTCACCTACTGGCAAAGGGTGCAATCTCAGCAGTGAGGTGTTTCATTTTATCCAGATGAGGGCAACCATGAGCCTTGCATGAGCAGGTTGGATTACAATGTTTCTGGGTTTTATTTGTTTGATATTTTTCCAGAGCATTAATTCAAAACTACACGGGAGGATAAGTTGCTGCATTCCAACACAGGACCCAGCAGTCAAATTGGAGGATAAGTCAGTGTAATCATGAAGCATTATTTTGGTCAGCCTTCATGTTCCTGGCACTGGATTTGGTTAGAGTGTAGGCTTTAATTTTCTTTAAATAAAATTGCCTGAACAAAATTGTCTCTTCTGTTTATTTCTGTTCCTGAAATTAAAAATTTGTACTTAATTTTAAGTGTTGCTGTATCATCCTCCTCTACCTGCAGAATTACAAGCTGCCCATCAGGATTTTGGTAATGGAGCGTGAAAATGCTAAATATTCACTAAATGTGTCTTCTGTTGGCAGCATGGAGAGAGAAATAAAATGGTAATTTTTAAAGGTGTTCCTTCCCTCAGAATGTGGTGACATTTCTGCTGACAGTTGCAATAAGTTAAGTCTGATATGTAACAGAAAAAAGGTGGTGATTTAAGTTGTGTTTTACTCAATTAAGCAGTTTATTAGCAAAGATGTTGGATAGAAAACTGATAGCATGCCTCCAAAAACCAGCAGAAGCTACAGTGTATTATGAAGTTATTTGCACTATTCCACATTTTGTCACAGAACTGCAAACCTTATATCCCGTAAATAATATTTATCTTATCAACATATATTGTATAATTATGAAGTCAAAAGAAAAGCCTGCATCGTTTTGAAATGTTTGATTGGTTTTCCAAACAAAGTAAGAAAAGTGCAATGTGTTAATGTGACAAAAAAACTTAAATACAATTCAGTTCAGTTCATTTTATTTATATAGCGCCAATTGACAACGCATGTCATCAAATTGTCACATGTCAAATTGATTGAAACTGATTTAAAGAACCATCTTTCTTTGCAATAATAGCTACAAGCGTGTTAATGCATCTTCCTCCCAGCTTCACTCAAAAAGAGATTCTCAGTTACAGATCTCAAATGTATTCAGATCTGGACTTTAACTGGACCATTCCAACACATGAAACTACTTTGATTTTGTAAATGTGGCTCCATGTTTAGGGTTGTTGTCCACCTGGAAGGGCTCTGCACCCTTTGGCTCGGTGCCAAATGCAAACGGATATTACATTTTTTATTTATTTATTGTCTTCTGTTTTCCATAGATTGCTGATTTGTAAAGCACAAAACTTATAGCTGTTGTGGCAAGTATTCTTTTAAGAGACTTCAGCTGTTATCATTATCTCACTACTTCACTGTGGTTCCTTACCTGGTAGCACTTCAATGTATAACGCCCAATCCATATGTGTCATATAAGTTACTTTAAATATCTGCCCTTTTTTTTTTTTTTCTTGATCCACTGTATATATGCGGAGGCACCATTTCCTCCTTTTGGCACCTTCTTTTGACTATTGAGCCGATGTGACAAGTGAATTTCTCCACTGTGAGATCAATAAAGTCTATCTTATCTTATCTTAACTGCAGTGCCCCAAAACATTATTATAGATTACATGGCTCTTTCTTCAACTAATGCGCTATTAATAGCTCACCTATTATTTATTTCCTTGGTGCACATAACTTTGTTAATCATTGGTTTATTTGTTAAAGTGTAGTCTAACATGTTCAGAGCTTGGAGTAATATTTTATAATCCAAACTTCCATGAAATATAATTTATACATATCTGCAACTTCCTCCATGTCTCGTCTGGTGGATTTAATTTGGTCTTGTTAATGTTTAGTTTTTTCTGCTTCACTATACAACTGTCTTTACTGAAAAGCATCCATTTGTGGACAGAACAGAGAAGCTAAAGACTTTTTATATTTTTATCTTCTGAAAAATGCATTAATGTATTCTTCATTCTACACAGACAGCTTGTGTTGCTCTATCATGTAAAATCTCAATAAAATCCACTAAAGATTATGGCTGTAATCTGAAAACAAATATAGAAAAGTTAAAAGATTGTAAATACTTTTGCAGGGTGCTGCATTTGAGGTTGTAACTAAAGATTCACTCATTAATTATACAATGCCAAAAGCATACCTTTTACTGATCTCGTTCATTTCAAGAACATTTTTGAAGTTAAAACTTCTGATTTTTAACCCACAACAGAAGGGGCAAAAAAAAAAAAAAGGATAAAACACAC